GACAAGCTGGAAGGCAAGGGGGTTTATTTTCTGCCAAATTACCCTTTTACATGACACCAGTTCTGGTTCTCCCAGTGTGGGAATGACACGGATAAACTGTAGCATGTTTAGGAGAGGTCACCAAGATGTTTGGGGCTGGTAGCACTTGCCCTGTGAAGAGATGCTGAGAGAACTGGTCTGGGTTTCACCTGGGAAAGGCTTCAAGGCACCTCATAGCAACCCCTGCAGCACCCAGGAGGAGGTCAGCCTATGATCTGCCCCATGGTCTGACTCCACAGCAGCCCCTGCTCTGAGCAGGAGGTTGGAGTAAAGACCTCCAGAGGCCCCTTCTGGGCTGCACTAGCCTGTGAGCCCACCATTCCATTTCTTCACAGGCTACTTGCTGCTTCCTTTCTCTCTGTCTTCCTTCCTCATCCAGGTCTTTACACCTACATACATTTTTCATTTGGTGTATTCTGTTCATTTCCCTGTCTAATGTTCATTTTGCCCCTTTTTCACTTCCAATCCCCAGTGTTTCTTTGTTTAGCTTCCTAACAGGATATTGTTTCAAGGTTGTTAGGTCTCCTCCTCTTCCATTTTATTTCCCTCCTTTGTCCTGCCAGCTGTCATTAAGCTTTTCTTGTTTCAAGCAACATTAATCTCTAGCCATTGCTCTTTAAATAGAATTGAAAAATTAACCAGACTTTCTAGTTCTGTTTTCCTAACCTAATCTATTTTTGATGCCATTTCAGATATTACTACTCATTTTAATGCAGCTTGCTGCAGTGAGAGAACAACTTGACTCAGGTTTGAGTCATTTCTCTCTGATGCAGAAATGTTTTATTGAAGGTATTGTCGAATACGTTCAAATGTTCATTGATGAGAGAGGTAGACTTAGCACTATCAGAGAAATCAATAGAGTTCTGGGTCAGCTCAGATGTGACTGTGGATCGGAGTTTGCAGATGAGCTGATAATGAAGGTGTCTTGGCTAGGCAAAATACCCATCAATCTGGATGCTAAACTGGTCTCCCAGTAAAAAGAGGTGGACCAAGTCAAATTTGTACAGCCACTGTAAAACAAGAATTGAGGAAGAATAGAGAGACACACTGCAGTAGCTGTGGCCTCAGTGGTCCATGGTATAAAGAAATGGCCAAATAGCAGTTTTTTGCACCTGAAATGAAGAGGGCACATCCTTCGCTCCCTTGTCTGTTTGCAGGGGTCTGTGTGGGAAGTTCCTGAGCCTCACACCCATCTTCACTGTCAGCAAGAGAAATAAGGCTCCAAAACTAGAAACTGGTGGGCAAGAACTGACCTAGTAAAGCCACTGAATCCAAACTCATAGGGGTGCTCAGGCCACCTAACCCCACACCCCAGTCCTGCACAGAGAGCTTTTTTCGTGGCATGGGAACTGTTCCTTGTTTTGCTCCCCAGTTCTAGGGGGGCATGGATGGGTTATTTTACCTTATTTTGCAGTTCTCCCTGGGATCATCTCACTAGTGAGTGGGCTGCAAAGCACAAAAATATTTTTGAAGTGCACATCACAATTTGAAACAAGCTTCTTAGTAAATTGATCCAGTTTGCTTTACCTAAGGCCTACTAATTTCTTGGAAAACTATGGTAAATTATCTCTCTGGAATGTATCTTTCTCATCACTGTTGTGTCTAGAGTTTTCTTTCTCTCTCTCACCTTGTAGTAGGAGACATTCAAAAGAACAGTACCATCCCTCACTGCATTTAACTGAACCAAGACATGACTCCTGGGGATAGTCTAATGGGGAAAAGAGCAGGAAGATAACATCATCTGCCAGCATATTAATGTTCAAAATTATGCATATCCTTCTTCATAACAATGGTTTCATTAATTCCAAGCCAAACAATATTGATTCTCAATGTGACACAAAGACAGGTGATCACTGTAATCCAACTCACAAAACAATCTGAACAGCAGCTGAGGCAGGAGGCAGTGGAAACTCTTGACAAGGGTTTTTGCCAGTCACCCTTATGAGCAATACAATAATACCTTTACTGGAACCAAGAAAATTTAAATATGCATAGATAATTTAAAACAGCCTTTTCTGAAATTAGAATAAAAGGAAAAAAAGCTGTTGAATTTCCAGTTTCTTAAATTGCATTATTATTATTATGTAAGCAGCACTGAACAATCTGTTTCATAGAATATAAACTAACACATCACTTCATTTGTGTGGGAAATAGTGTATATAGTTTTTTTCCAATAGAAGCAAAACTTTTCAAATAAACTTTACTATTCTTACCGCAAGGTTGCCTCCACACCAACCCTTAAAGAAGTGTTTAGAATAGGGATTCTCTTAACATTTCTCTTACTGTTAGCTTTATATAAGGTATTTGCTATACAAATTCCATGTGTCCCATTTATTGTTTTCATTGACAGATTCAGTTCTCCTATAACAAATTGCTGACTTTCTACCACCTCCAATAATACAATGCAACACTGCCTTACTTTGAATATATTAAGACCTGTCGCTGTGATTCCATCTCATCCGTGCATATAGCTAATATATATCCAGGCACAAAGCAGACCCTGTGATATGGAAAGGTTTTTTCCAGTGGAGAAAAATCCTTGCCCAAATCCCAAGGTGTGGAACATAAACCAAATGGATGTGAGTTGAAAAATAATATTGATGAGTCATGTCAGGGAGAGTAGTTAAGTTTCTTTTAGGTCAGACAATCAAGCGAGTCAAGTTCTCCTGAGAAAAATACACACCAGAAGGAGAGGAAGAAACTCCAGTGGAGTATCAATACCATAATAAGATGCAGAGAACCATAGACAGATGCGGAATAATCTGATTCTTCCGGCGTAAGTCTGAGTCCTGTAGTACCAGATCCCTCCTGTCTCAGACAATCTGACTCGTTTTGTACCATGACTGCGACTTCAATACATGGCAAGCTGGAACCACATCCCTGCCTACCACCCACTGCTTCCTCAAAGCATGAGCACACACACACAAATAACACGCAGAACACTAAAAAGGAAGGACATCATTCCCATGAGCTTCTGGAATCAACACTAATAAAGCAATCCATCGCCGAAAGCCATGTCGATAGGTACATCCACCCAGCTATGTAGGAGAGGGCTAGGAAATGGTTTTAGCACTGGACTGCTCTCCCTCTTCACTTACTGGCTGGCTCCCTGGCCCTGTTTTCAGCTGTCCCAACACCTTCTCAAAGACGAAGCCTTGACATGACCCCCTCTAAAGACTGGCCCTGATGGAAGGAAGGATAAGACTGCACAAAATTGGGGTGTAAATTCAGCTCAGCTGTTTAACAAGCTTGCTGTTAAACCATATTACCCAGTTTCCCTCCGCAGACAATGGGAGAAAATAAGCCCCTCCATTTCGTTTCTCTTACCTTCTGCTACAGTTTAGGAGAAATCACTTTCTGGAGGTTCCTCTTTCCATTATTGACTAAAGTAGGAGTCTGAAAAGTCTACATAGACCCATTTGCAGTTTTTCATGACTGAAGTTAGGCAAAAACAGTTCCACTCTTGAAGTTGCCTGTGTAGATTGCCAGCTGCTCCAGGCAGAGAAGTGCCCTCCTCGGTGTTTTGTACAGCAGTCATGAAATCCACTTCTTAGGCATGTTGATTGATATCCTGGGGACTTCAGATATCATGCACAGCCATGGAAAAGCTGTCTGCAAAGAGTCTAGATAATTTCAAAATTACTTACAATAAGGCATGGAAAGGCTACAGTAGATCCAGCTAATATTATAGTGCAGTTCACTCCTCCAGCCTGGAGGGAAAGAAAATGCCCAAAATATATCTATGCATTTGATGGCATGTTGAATGTTATAGTGAATATACTTAGCCAAACAAGGACTTGCATTCCAGCTACTGCAGTGAACTCAGCTAAAGGATCAAACAGAGAAAAGGTGTTCTTCACACACAGACAGTAGACCCAAGGAGGTCCTGGCCCGAGGATGTTGGGCGTGTAAAAGGTTTACATGGCTTCAAGGGAGGGACTGGACAAGTAGTCAAAAGTGAGAGATAATGTGAGATACTGGGCAGACAAATTGCAGATCAAGGTGACAAAAATCCCATAAACTAGTCCTCAGCTTTTGTACCTCTTTGATTCCAAACAGCAAAACTTTTTCTGAATCTCAGAAAATTATATCCATGCACTCTGAAGCTTTTTTGTTCTAGAGAAATTCAGTAAGGAATCAAACATTCCTAAAGAGATAAATGATGTGTTTTGACACAGCCATCATCCTTTCAGGATACAGTTTTTTGGCTCAGAAAGTGTATTTGCAGAATGGTTGTCATTCAGGAAGTAATAAGAGTTTATAAAAATTCATGTAAATTTAGCCCCAAAGGCAATAAATATGTCTTTGGAATAGTGCCTTCAGAAAGATTCCCAAAACAAGGCTATCTAAGCATGTCGCATCAGATTCCAGTGTATCAGGAAAGTGGTAAAATATTTTTATATCTGTAAGAAGAGCAATTAAAATCCTGTGTCAGATTTCAGGAGAAAAAAAAAATATAGTGTTTAAAAAAGGCTGAATCATTATAGTAGCCTAATTCCACATGAATGATTACAAAACCAGGGTGGTTTTCTACTGATCAGACTCTGTTTACAAGTACTTGCTGTCGTAGACAACAGAAAATAAAAATCAGCTCAAATCTGAAAAATAAAGCCATGTCAGATTTTTTTTTTCTTCTCCTTGTGTCTCATAACTGGATGTAGCATCAATATATTTTTCTAAAATCTTTTTGGACTGAGTTTTGGTTTTTTCTTTGTGTCTGGTTTCCCACCCTCTGACAAATACAAACATTTTGCAGCGAGTCTCACATCCTGTATTTCAGGTTCCCCGGTCTCCAAATCCCACAGTTCTGAGTCTGTACATGCATCTGCTACAGGAGCTGACACAAGTAGCTGGAACATTTCTTACTCTATAATCCAATGCACTTAGCGAGCCAATGAATATGTGTGAAAGGAGGGGCTTTCTGGCTCAGGGACTCCTTGCAGGGGAGCAGCTGCTACAACAGCAAAGCCTTAACGGAAGCCAAGCACACTCACTCACGTCGCTCAGTGCGTCTAGGTCTGGGAAGACAACACCCCCCAACCCTTCCTCTCTCTGCACAAAGTGAGACAACTAGCACAGAGAAACTTAGAGAAGACCAGATCTCAGCTGAAAAATATTCCAGCAGATCCATGGCCTGGGTCAGCAATATCTCTTGGTTTAATCACCTTGCTCTACATGAAGAACGTTTCTGGAGGTACTTAAACAGCACTGAGGATTACTTAGCCTTCCTCTGTGGGCCCAGACGGAGCCATCTGTTCTTGCCCATGGCTTTGGTGTACACCCTGATCTTCATTGTTGGGGTAATAGGTAACTTCTTAGTTTGCCTGGTAATCCTCAAGCACCGGAACATGAAGACCCCGACTAATTACTATCTATTCAGTCTCGCCGTCTCAGACTTGCTCGTGCTGCTTTTTGGGATGCCACTGGAACTCTACGAGATGTGGAGCAACTACCCCTTCTTGTTCGGACCCGTCGGCTGCTATTTCAAGACGGCGCTTTTCGAGACGGTGTGTTTCGCCTCCATCCTCAGCGTGACCACGGTCAGCGTGGAGAGATACGTCGCCATCCTCCATCCTTTCCGCGCCAAGCTGGAGAGCACTCGCAAGCGTGCCCTGAGGACCATCGTGGTGCTCTGGGTCCTCTCCGTTCTCTTTGCCCTCCCCAACACAGGCACCCACGGCATCATGCTGCAGTATTTCCCCAACGGCACCCTGGTCCCCGGCTCTGCTACCTGCACTGTAGTCATGCCCATGTGGATCTACAACTGTATTGTCCAGATCACCTCCTTCCTCTTCTACGTGCTGCCTATGGGGGTGATCAGTGTGCTCTACTACCTGATGGGGCTGAGAGTAAGTCTTACTCCAACTGTGCTCAGTGTTTCCTTAGCTCATTCATGTGTCTTTGTGTCTGATGTGTCTTTTAAGCAATTTCACCTTCTTCCTGCCCATCTGTTTTTCTCCAAAAAAGCTAAAGTATTTCAAAACTCTGAAACCAGAGGATCCAACTCTTTCTTTGGTGTAATTCCATTCTAAAATGGACATAGCTATACTGGAGAAAAATGTACCCTGGTCTTTTAAAAAAAAAAAAAAAAAAAACAAAAACTTACCATCGCTGCTGCTCAAGCGTGAATGTTACTTAAATGTCCAAGTCTATAAATTGATTCCAGCCACAGAGATTTGCACCTTCGCAACAGGGACTGGAGGAAAATGTGAAAGAATAAAAAGGAACAGGCTAGTGATTGAATCTTGCGTATTATTAGTTTTCCCTCTTCTTGTTACTGTGGAATTTCTATTTATTTTTCTCCTTCCCCCGAGACAGTGATAATATTCAGCTGTTAAAACTCACAAAGCTGTCATAAACTGGAATGCTACCTTATTGCTGCAGCTAGCACATTCAGCAGCCGTTTCTTTATATAACTATGGCATAATTTCACCATCGATTAAAGCTACCTTAGAGCTCATATTCATTCTCTCTTCAGGAAGTGAGACTAGTTTTACCAAGTATTCATCATTTAAATACATGGATAAAACAATCAGTATCATGGTATTATAAAACTATCTAGCACAAGACTGAAATGCACTGCTAATCATAGCAAGTTGATGACATTTTTCTTCTCATACATTACATATATTTTGAAAATATAAAAAACTTCTCATTGCACTGAATATAACTCAAAGTTTAAAAAGCTGTGTCTAATCATATAGTAAGAAAGGGATGCAATATGCTAGTAGAGACAAATTAAGCTACTGAATAATAATGCAAGAAATTCAACCAAATCTCTGTTGGTGTATATATCGTTTTGTTGTGCTAGCTGATATTTACTGTTATCTGAAACTGTACAGAAGCAATTTTCCTTACCCTAGAAAAGCCACAAGAATTAACTGCCAGAAATCACAGCACACAGCAGATTTTTGAAGCGATGAATGGGTTAAATTATCCCCACTGCCCAGTGGCTGTTGTGGGGTCTTTACATAGTTTCACTGAAAACTTTGCAAAATAAGACCTGAAAGGAGGAAAAAGTACTGAAAATAGAGCTCTTAAAACAAACAAACAAACCAACCCAGAAACCTGAACTAATAAATAGAAGTCTTGAGGATTTCAATAACTTCTCTTTGTGGCAACAGATATTCTTAATCCCCATCCCAGAAGACAAGCTAGGCACCAGACGAGGGCTGCTCTCGTGGGACTGGTGTGTATTCACAGATATGTTCAAGCTGTCTTTCCTCAGGGCTGCAATGTTTATTGCTTATGCCTCTGCTTTTCTGTATATCCAACTCAGACTTCCAAATTTTAAACAGCGTCCATCCTGGGTACATCTGCATTACACTCCAAACTGCACTAGGCAAGATAACTTCATTTTTTTCAACAGAAATGGTAGAAGAATGGTGTAAATATATATAATTTTTCAAGAGAAGATGCTTTTTATCTACTCACAGAGGATGAAAACTATGATGCTTCAGCAACACTCCAGAGTCTCCTGAGTGTCATGGATTGCTCATAGACTGTAGAGAAAAAATTCAGAGTTGATCCAAAAGTTGGACAACAGCTCAGATTCAGCAGGGACATGACCTTTCCAAGTCCAGGCTTTGTGGAAAGAACATTTCCTTTCCAAAGTTTCTCCCTCAAACTTTGCCGGCGCACAAGAGAGCCTGAGGATGCAATGTAGAAGGAAACATGCCAAGCAGCTGTGAGAAGGTATTAAACATGGGTCAGTAGCTGAGTTAATTTTTAATTCTATTCCTTGCAAAAAGGAAAAGATCTATTTGTCCTTTTCCCTGGGAATTCTGTTGCCAACAGAGCCATCATGTTGATTACCTCACTATGTACTTGGATATAATTTTAAGGCTTGATACTACAGCGTGATGGTCAATAGATAGCTCCAGCATTAGTGTAAAGAAGAGGACACTGATGATTACACTATAGTCTCATTAGACTTCATTGTGGAAGCTTCCTGCTGCCTCTTTCACGAGGTCCTCATCACAGGTGCCTATAGGACAAATCCCTTAATCACCCAGGCTCTTCTTTAAACCCACATAATCTGCTGGGCTACTGCTTACAACCTATAGCCAAAAAGCTGAGGAGGAAGAGGAGAGGGAGAAAATGAGAATATTGGGAAACAGCTTCCTGCAGAAGCTAATCCCTGCAGCGCTGACAGACATGGGGTGGCATTGCTTGGGAAGCATTGCAGAGGGATGCAGTGCAAGGTCCTTGCCCATTTCTTTCAAACTGATGTCTAAAAAGACCCAGGGATAGGCAATTATCACTGGTTGTCTAAAAGTCACTTTATTTAACAAGGATTTTTGACAGTGTATGAAGAGAGTGGAGAGTCCAAAGTTTTTTTTATCCCACCTACTTCAGCCATCTGGGAGGGAATCTAGATGATCACATGGGACTAGACTGTCCTCACCTAGGCAGGACTATTTTTCTGCTAAGAATACAACACTTCTCTTAGTGTCGCTTTGCCTCAGTAACACATAGGACAGACTGGTAATTTCTATTTCAGCTGTCATTCAGTCAAGACAACTCATTCTTGCCAATGCACAGCTGGTCCAGATTTTATCTTTAAAGTCTGTTTTGCTTCCTAAATGCCCAGTTGTTAAAACCAGAATCATCTGTGGACAGTGACTGCCTTTGGATAATTTCTGCAGAGCCAAGCACACTCCTAAAATAGTCTGTTCCCTGATGATGGACGTTGTTCAGCAAACCTTGCACCCACTAACACGTTTTCCTTTGCAGCGGGGGTGAGCTAAGAGTACACCCAGGCTGCAGCCCAGTCAGCCGGCAACTGCTTCGGCCAAGGCACTGAACCCAGGCTGCAGCCCGGCCAGCAACTGCTTCGGCCAAGGCACTGAAATAGGCAGGACTACATGCTTTAGCACAAGCCACGTGGGTGTTAAACACCATTTTTTTTATCAGTTGGAGAGAAAGTTCAGTCACCACTCACATCAGAGAAGCCAAGGAGCTCACAGAAAATAGTTCTCCTGCTTTTGCGGAGTGGCCTCGCTAGGTTTGTCTGAGGATACGTGAAGCCCTAATTTCAACTCTGCCTTGGATTTGATTTTATTGATGCTGTAGCTAATAAAGATGTAGAAGGGGATCCAATTTTCAGCTTCTTGTTCCAACCACTTTTAATTCTCTTCCAGGGAATGGGTAACATTCATCTCCACGCAACCCTACATAGCCCCATACCTCCACAGTAATGTAAAAGTAACCTCTACCTTGGCTGGAGTTCTCCCTCTGTCAAAACATTGGCATGAGCTCAAGTCACCACCTTTGCGATAGGCTCATCTTTTTTTTTCCCCTCCTTCTCTTTGTCATAATTCATTGTTTTATTAAATTGCAACTGCTAGCTTATTCTTACTAGTTAGACCTTCATCTATTATCACTTGAGGCTAAAGAGGAGCCTTATAGCATCATCAAAATGACAGGAGGAAGATGAAAAATAAAGATACATGTGTGTCTGGTTTATTACAGCATCAGAGCTGTATTCTCTGAGGCTTTGGAAAATGCTTGGAATAGATTACTGTTGAGACTGAAAACCACTGAAGGGAAAGTAGGGATTTTAATCAATCTGAACAGACATTTATCGCTAGATATGTTCCAAATCAACTGAGCCTCTTCCTTAAGCAACTGTGACTATGACTAAAAGTTACAAAGGGAATAATGTAAAACCTGAGAAACTGAATTGGTCCATAGTAGAATATAATTTTATTTACATGTGTCTCCCTTTTATGGGTTTTGTGAATAAATAGAACATTGAAAGAAAGTCTCATTTGATCATCCTGACAGAAAAGTATTGTTAATCAAAAAATCGGGAAGCAAAGTCACAGGGTAAAAGTCAAAAGAAAATGGCACAACTAGAATGATATCACAAGATTTTTACACATGCAGATTGATTTTCACTTTCTCCCTCATTCCTGATATTCTTTCCCATGTAATTAAAAGTTTTGTTTCCAGTTTCTCTCAGTTCAAAAAAGCATCACTCCAAATCTGTTGGCTAACCAGAATTTCCCACTTCAGGAAGTTGGGTTCAATTATGCACCCTCCATAAATGATTTCTTTTATAATCAAAGCAATTGTCCTGCTAATCTAACCCTGGTCTTTTCATCACCAAAGCACTAATGCTCTCTCCATAAACATATTGGGGAAGGATTTCGGGAAGGATCAGGTTATTATTCTTTATGTTCATTTTTTAGAAGTCCAGGAGAAACTGCTGGAGGAAAAATAACCAACCCCTGTTGTAATGGAGTGGTTTGTGGCTGTATCTGTGTGTATCATGGACATCAGCTGTCTGCAAGAAAACATATATGGATTTTGTTTATTAGGCAAATTGAATATCAATTAGTCCAAACACTCAGGGCATGAAACAAACTCCCTTGAATTCTACAGGAATTTTTCCAGTGATTACAGCTGTGTTTCACTGAGGCCTCTCTGGGTATTTTTTTGGATCATTGGTTTGTGCTTAATTGTGAGGAACCCTTTTAGGAAAATAAACAAACAAACAATGTTTTGCTAGAAGAAAAAATAATGCCTAGCAAAACACTGTTGAAATTGAACACAAACTGTGAATCAAATATTGAGTCATAGAGAAAGGAAAATTGGGGAACTGAAATACCAATTTGCTGTAAATATGCAGTCTCAGATGCATAAAATCTGCAGGTTGTTTTGTACCAATAGCTTTAATGTTTCCCTAGATTAAAACTGAAATTTGAACATTGATTTTTTTCCATGAGTCCTGAGTTGCCCTAAATTTTGCCTTCTCAGACTAAAGCTATCAAATTATCAAACAGGCTATGTCTGGGGAGGATGTCATCTCCTGTCTAAGCTCTCCTTCGGTTTCCCTCCTTTTGTCAGTTGAAAGGAGACAAATCTTTGGAAGTGGAGGAAATGGCTGTGAATGTTCAGAGACCATCCAGGAAATCAGTCACCAAGATGTTGTGTAAGTAATGAGTCCTTCTGTGTTTTATTTACAAGAGGATGACCAGGTCCTAAAAGGTATCAAGAAAATCCACTGGATACAAGATTTATGAGATGAGTAATTCTGATCAAAAAATAAAAAGGCTTATTGCTGCTTTATCTGGTCTTGCAGGACATGGGAGTGAAACACCATGGCTAACTATCAAAAGACTCAAAAAGCAAATTTTCCTCCCCAGCATGAGAGGAGGTTGAGCAAATCTACATGGCAGATACCTGTGTGGCAAATCTCCAATATCCCTCACTCCAAACCTGGTTCTTGCAGCCCTGTAGAGAGAAACCCTCTTTTTCAGAGCGCAAGTAGTCTATCTTGTACATTTTTAAAGAAGGTTGTACCCCTGGTTTGCATCACATCCCAAGCTCTGCTTGTGAACAGGAAGGTCCTGCCAAGCCACATACATCACCTAGTGCTGATCTAATCACTTAGACCTTCCCGAGAAAAAGTAGGACCTAGGCAGACTTGCACAATGTACAGCATTCAGGAGAATTTCTGCTCCAACCATGCTGAAAACACTCACATCAATTTCTAATTTAAGGCTTTCTTAAGGCAATGATCACCTTGCTACTAAGACGGTGTTTATGCAGGAAACATAAATCACCTTAGATATTTCCTGCAACAACATTATTCTTTTAGGCAGCTTAAGTCACCTTCTGAACTAGGAAATTGTACTTCGAAGTGACCCTGATTTTCTGTGCCCCATGACTGACCACAGATGTTCGTGGGACCCACCTCTGGAATGGGTTTGCAAGAGTCCTTACTAGGGCCACCGTGGGCCAAGTTGTGGGTGGCAGCAAACTCTTTTCTTTCACACTGAACAGCGCACCTGGACAGACTCAGCAGATGGTTCCTACGGCTTTATCCTGCTACATGGTGTACAAATAGTGTGCAGAGGCAATTAACTCCAAAGCACAACGGAGTCAGTGTGTGGCAGGTACCACAGACGAATCCAGATGTTGGCAGTTTAGGCATTAGGCTCTGTACATGCCACGCTACCTGGCTGTTGCCCGCCCTGTTTGAACATCATTGTGAATGCATGCATCCAACAGAAATCAGCTGAAAGTTTGTTCTTTTAGCTGGTAATGTTTTTCAGTGGGCACTGCAGCAAGACAGTAAGGATGGCAAAAGTTTTGAAACAATAAAATGTGTATATTTAGTCTTTCATCCAGCTTTCTGATCTCTGCTCTGTGCAGGTGAGTGAAACCATATCCCTTCATAACTGACTTTTCTTCTCCCCTTCCTCCATGCCAGTTGTCCTTGTGATGGTTTTTGCTATCTGCTGGGCTCCATTCCATATAGATCGACTCTTCTTCAGCTTCGTTGTGGAATGGACTGAGCCTCTGGCTAACATATTCAACTTAATTCATGTGGTGTCAGGTAAAGCTTTCTTCTTCCATTTGCACAGGGCTCGCAAAAAAAAAATATTTGTGAATGGTTTACTTGAAATGTGCAGTCACTTATTTTTTAGGTGACATGAGACGCATAGAAAAGCCTCTTGGATTTTGGTAGACTGTGATGAGAACTGTGCCTTAAATAAAAACTGCATGCAAATTTCTGCAGCTTTTAAGATCTGGGCATGTTGTCCAATACAGCTGTCTGAATATTCACAAAGAAAAAATAAAGGATATTATACATCATTACCAGCTACTTTTCCTTCTTGGAAATGTTCAGAAATAAAGGCTGCTGTCATTCAACCACTTTTAACGAATACACAGCAGCAGGCATCATTCTCCAGAGGGTCCCTTAGGCAACTGGGAAACCTTACCAAAAGGCAAGACAGAAGGCTTACATACTGCCCAGAACTGGGTGATACAACCAAATGTTTATGACCCTGCCAACCATAAAATGAAGGACTTCCCAAGAGATATCTTATTTTCAGTCTGCCATGGGAAAACACTGAATTTGGCCATTAGGCAGCTCAGACAAATCCAATCTCGTGCCACTGCCCTGGTGTGTTGTAAGAAATTAACTCCCATCAGGTGGAAGTTATCCTCTGACAGCTTTGATGGGGGCACCAGCCGTGCAAATCCTGCTGTGGGGATGAGGGCTGTGCTGGAGGCAGGTCCCTACAGCTCAAGAGAGAGCTGGTTCCTGAACAGCCAGAGAGAGCAATCTCTCCCACCTCCCTTTCCCTGTTTGCTGCAGTCTGGGCCAGCCTTGGTGAGACATCCCGCTGTCTATGCACCAGGGAGGCAGCAGGCAGAGCTCTGCTGTTGCTGCCTCCACCCTTGCACCCATGCTTGATGAAGCAGTGTAGGCAATGAAGAGGTTTTCCTCTTCTGAGATCTTTTCACACACAAATTAAGTCTCTCTCCTCCTTCCTCCACCCTTATTCTCTCCTAGGTGTTTTCTTCTATCTGAGCTCTGCCATGAACCCCATCATTTACAATCTGCTGTCCCAGCGCTTCAGGATGGCTTTCCTCAGTGTCCTTTCTCCTTGCTGCAAGCACTGGGCCCCTAAACATCCCACTAGCAAGATTCCTGCCCAGCAGAGCATCTTCATGGTTGAGGACCACAATTTTATGGACTCTGCGGAGGACACAAGTCTCCCTGGCACACAGAGGACATCTGTCAGCAGTTCTCAGCTCTCCACTGGTCTGTGACTTTTCTTATTGTGATCCAGGTGAGAGAGAAGTTAAAGAAAATTACTTTAAAAAGAAAGAAAAAAGAAGAAGAGAACCTCCTAAAAGACTGATTTCGGCAAGACATCATAGACTTTTTGAATTAATGAATGAGGAGACTTAATTAGCAGGTGACTGAGAAGCACTGTATCATCCTCAAGCTAATAGAAGGGCTGGAAATCTCAGCTATGCCAGTGAAGAGCTGCTTTACAGAAATGAGACACACTCCTGATGTTACCAGCACAGGAGGGAGACCAGCTTATCCAAATCTTACTGAATGGCTTTTGTGTACCAGCCTAAACATCAGTTCACTTAGTTTGAAATGGGGAAACTCTCTGTATAAGCCTTGTCCACCCACTTCTAGCTTTAGGCAAGCCAGTCTCACTTGTCTCTCCTACAATCTTCTTGAGCTGTGGCTGTTGCAAGCTTGTCTTGGATACATGAGCAAGTAGGCATGAACAAGAGCAGTTCTGAACTGGGCTGATAAACATCAGACAGCAGCAATAGGTATTTCTGGGCCAGAAGAACCCGAGAACTGATAATTATGGGAAAGCAAACTTTGCTTTCAGCGCTAGGTGAAGATTCAGTTGGCAGGTGGTGATTAATGCCTTGAATCACATTGTCTAAAAAAGCTACCCTTTAGTGGGTTACTTTTAATAAGTCTCAACTTTACTACCATATCTTTTCATACTTGATCTGACAGTATCTACACAGTGCTAAAATGACACATGCATACCACAAATTTGTCGACATTACCTGGGAAATAGCCATTACTGGGGGCTGAGGATGTTCCTGGCGTGATTCCTTTGCACAAAATACAGCCAGTGAGGGATATCTGCCCAGGGAATGCAAACAGCCTGCAGTCTTTGCAGGCTTATCCTGAGCATCAGACAGTTTTATTTTTGCCCATCTGCCTGAACCGAGTCTGACCATGTACAGATGGGCTGTGGTTGGTCCCTGCTATGCCTGATGTCCTGCAATTTGCAACAGCTTCTTATCATTGCTTGAACCTCCGACACTTATGTGTTCTTTGCCAGTGAAGCCCCGTGGTTGTGCCTCAGCAGACTTCACACCTGCCCATACCAGGGGGACTGCAGAAGTCAGAGGTCTACATGGGGTTAGCAACCACCCGGAAACAGCCTGGACAGCATTCACAACACATGGAACTGGGACAAACCTGCAGACTCAGAGAAGCTGATACAAAAGCAATTTAAAAAGAGGGTTTTGCAGTGATTTTGCATCTACTGAATTCTAATTTTTGCCACAAAGCACAATGTAAGTTTTGGGAAACGCTCCCACATCCCAATCATGCAAACAGATCCTGAAAGCAGCACACAACATTCAAGCTGATGAGTTCCTGACCTCCACTAACTGCAAGATCAGCATTCTACAGAGTTTTGTAAAGGGAGGACAGGGTGAATCTGCTATACGACAATGAAATATATAAACCTGTGTGTCCCAAGTTTCAAAACCTTGTGTTTCAGAGAAATGCCTCTCTTGTGCATCATGACACAGCGCTAGGTTTAGCCACCACCCTGGGCTCAAGCTTGGCACGCTCTGCCACAGGAAGTCATCCCATGGGTGTCATTGAGGAGCTGGGATTTACTTACGTAGTCAGAGGGCACAGGGTTATCATAAGAAACAAGAACATTAGTTCCTGAAAGATAATACACATTACGCATAAAGGCTTATTCCAGTCTGGTCACCGGGGATCCAGATGACATTTCCCACCATAGGAGGAAGCAGTTCTCCTACCGTGGGCTCTTACCTTGTTTGCCCCAAAGTCTTCTGGTCCGCCGCTCGCTGTGGGACCCGTGGGCGAGGCAGCTGGTGAGTCACCTTCTCCTGCAGCGCAAGGGGAACCTGAGCCCACGGTTTCTGCCAGACCCATTTTAGCAGCTGCAATCTGGAGAAACGAGCCATGGGAAGGCTAACATGCACACAAGGCCCTGGAGAGAAAAGGAAGTTCCCATCCCTGAAGACACGGCTGAAACACTTTGCCACCCCCAAGTGGACACATGAGTTTTATCATTGACATTTACATTTTTGACCAGATTTATACTATCATTTTTCCCTCGACCAGGGAAACGCACTCGGCAGTGTGTTTTCCCTCCAGACTTGCCGTGCCAGTGGTGCCTGGCTGCCTGTGAGCTGCCCAGGTCCCCGTTCTGCTGCCCCGTGCAGGGCACCGAGCTCTGTGCTCCCACCAACGGGCTGGGGATCGCAGGGGCAGGGGCTGAGTGGGGTTTTCTCCCACACCCTGTGCCTCCCCTGTGCAGCTCCCTGAGCTCAGGAGGTTATCCTCCTTATCCCAGCTGTGTGCCACTGAAAGCATGTCTTCTCCACTGTCTTAGACACCCAGCCAAAGCAGTGAGGAGACAGTTTAGTTTGACATACTCACACATCCACCATATGATACATTCCTCTGCAAAATTTCATGGTTCTTTGAACGTATCTTAGAATCACGGAATGGTTTGGGTTGGAAAGGACTTTAAAGATCATCTAATTCCAACCCCCCTGCCATGGGCAGGGACACCTTCCACTAGACCAGGTTGCTCCAAGCCTCATCCAGCCTGGCCTTGGATGGGGCATCCACAGCTTCTCTGGGCAACCTGTCCCAGTGCCTCACCCCTCTCTGGGAAGAGTTTTTTCCTTACATCCAATCTAAATCTCCCCACTTTCAATTTAAATCCATTACCCCTCATCTTATGCATTTAGACCCAGGCAGCATCTTGTGCTGGTGCACAGACCCATCCATGAGCGATGCCGCTCTCTTCTCCCCCCTCCATGGGAGAACTGCAACTTGGGCTGCAAAGCTCAGAGTTGTTAGATGCATCTCTTGGCTTGCAGATGAGCACACAGAACTGCATTCAAGGTTGGGATGCGAAGCTCTAGGGTGAAGTTTTTATGTGGTCTGAAGTAAAACAGCCAAATTTTTATTCCTAGGGAAGACAAAAGGTTTTGGGAGGAAAGGGAAGTGGTGGGGGTAAAAAAAGTGTACATGGATGGGAACTTTTAGAAGACAAATAGTGAGAAGAAAATGACCAGGGACTCACCTCCAGTTCTGATTTTTTTTTTTTTGCCCTAAAATAGTTTTCAGCACTTGTAATCTGGCATCAGTCAAAACAAGTGACACTTTTAACCAAAAATTACTGAGCTTTTTTTGGCCAGACACCAAAAGCAAAGCTGAAAACATTTAGTCCTGTGCCAAGCCGAACCTTCTGTGAAAGTTTTATTGTGAGATATGTCAAACTGCTAATAAATTCTGTTTAAAATAAAATAAATGCAGTGGAAAAAAAATGTGGGCTGTCTTGAGGTTGAGCTCTCTGAGTTAAATTCCCTGTGACAGCATAGCTGAGTACCCCCTCGCTCCTGGGGGGGTGGGCAGGGACACCTCCAGAAAGTAGTTGATGCACTTTGTCCCTAAAAAGTAATCAATGCGCACTGGAGCCTTTTCTTCCCAAAAGGTCGATGCTTGAGTTATTTATCAATTTATCACCCTGCTCTGATGTTTAACCTGGTTGAATTTTGAAAGCTGAATCCAACCGCGAAAATGCTGGGAAGACAGACAGAGATGTCATGAAAGCTGCTGATAATTCCATTATTTATACATTTAGCACCTTTCACAACCAAGTGCTGAAAAATGTTGGCAAATGGCTGAGAAAATCTCCTGTTGGAAGAAAATGGAGAACAACTAACTCACTTTCCCCCAAAGTGTTCTGGTGTGATAGAAACATATTTATTTGAAATCAAGCATGACTTACTTAGAACTGTCTATTGATTTATTTCCCTGCCTCTGTTTCCTTCTGGGAAACAGGCAAGTGTGTAGGCAGAAAGTGTGGAGGAACAGGGGCAACACTCCAGCACTGTGAACAAAAAACGGACAGTTTGAAATGTGTTGCAAGGAAGCACTTAAAGAATTGCTTGTACTGCCAATGGGTGACACTCAGACCTAACGCCAGGTTCGGTACTGGGAAAACCAGCATGACAGCAAGTGGACAATTCTGTTAAGGTTATACGAACACTGCTGTGTTTTGAAGTGTTTAAACCATGGCTAATCAGTAAAACTAAATGTACACTTCAGCTGCAGAGCTGCATATATGTACCTGTGTGTACCATGAAAATAAAGATACTAGAGTCTCTCTTCCTAAGTCTGGCCCATCCTCCAGCAATACTTGTGCTTCTTGCTTCTCCCTCTAAATTCACCTGAAAATACAGCACCCAAGCACACTGCACAACTGCCTCCTCAGGGGAGGAGGTTGAAAACTGGATAGAATGGTTGTCATAGCCAGGAGATGGTCCCAAAGCAAAAAGTACTGCTTCTCAGGCAGTATAACAGCCTGGTCTGCTCTCCCTCCCTGTTTTTTCTACTGTCTTTTGCCTCATTTTCTCTGCTGTTCATGTTGACACTTGCTAGGTTTTTCCTCACTGAGGTTTCTTGTTCCACAAACGAGAAAAAGTCTATAACAAATTGCTGAGCTGCAGCATTTCCATATCGAATGTGTGTTAAAGTAAGGAAAAATAGGGTGATGAAAACAGAATAATAATCTGACCTTTTTCTTTCTCTAATAAACTGATGAGGAATAAGGGAGGAAGAACAAGAAGTCAAACAACCAGGAACCCTCAAGGATTAAAAATTGGATTTAGAATTTGCTCCAACTTGATGTAATGACAGTAAATGTCCTTCAGACTAAGTTGGGGGATAAAAGAGTATGAAAAGAAACTCCGCAGAAAATTGCGCAATTTGGGCCTTGCAGATTTCTTTGCCTGGGAAAATAAACATTTTTGAGGTTGTTAGGGTAGATCAGAAGCCATAAGAGCTCATGTCCCAGCAGACAGTGACCATCTTGTTCATGATTCATAACTGGTTTCCCTGAAGGAAAGGAATTTGCCATGTGTAAAATAAGCATAGACTGTAACGTAGGGACCTCACCTGGAGCGTCAAAGGCTGCTGATTTTCTTCCACATTTCTTTCCATTTCG